GAACCACAGAGCCAAATCCCCAGCCCAGTTAGTTGGGGTTTTTTTGAGATAGGGTCTTGCTATGTAGTTTAGGCTGGCCTTGAACTCATGGCAGTCCTTGTGGCTCGGCCACCAGAGTGCCGGGATTACAGGTGTGTGTTTTCTAAGTACTATGGTTATTGATATATAGCAGTGCTGATTTTTGTATATTGATCTTGTATCCTACAACTTCACGTAATTGTTTTCTGGTAGAATATTTGGTTCCATAAGCTCCAGATAGTGACAGCCTGACTTCCTCTTTCCCCATTTGGTTGCCCTTTATTTCCTCCTCCTGCCCAAAGCCTCTGGCCAGGCATCAGTACAATACTACATAAAAGATAAATGTGCACATCCTTGTGATACGGGGGGAACAGATAACTCCCAAACCTGCTAGATATCCAAAACACAAGTTCATGTTCTCTAAAATTGATGAGGGCTGGAGATTTAGCTCAGCAGCATAGCACCTGCCTGGCAAGCGAGAGGTCCTCCTGAGTTTGATCCCCGGTACCCACCCCCCCAAAAAAACCCTAAAATTGAAGAATAAATTCTAGGAACAACGGAGGTTAAGAGTAGGAAGAATTTATTGAGAATGAAAGCTTCTAAAAGAGACAGAAGGGGGACCAGAAAATGGGTTGCCCCCAGCTCCTTGAATAGGTAAGGATAAAGTCTTTGTGCTGGACTTTGCCTTTGAGGTAGTATTCTTAAGTTGTGCCCAATGACATCAGATCCTCTGGCGTACTTACTTAAAATTCAGGGCCCAACCTTCTGAGACTCAGAAATTCTGAAGGAGAGCGGATTATCTGTATTTTACATAGGCATTTTATAGATGATTCTTGTGTACACTATTGCTTAAGAATCATTATTCAAAAAGAGAGCTTTTTTTTTTGTACCAGGGATTGAACTCAGGACCTTGTGCTTGCGAGGCAGGCGGTGGAACCACTGAGCTAAATCTCCGGCCCCAAAAAGGGAGTTTCTTAATGTTAATTTCTTTGAATTCTACTTTGTTTAAAGTTAAGATAAATGTTTCTATTCTCCACAACAAATCCGTTTTTAATTCATAAATGAGCTACATTAATGTGTACTACTGGCAACTGAGTAAAATCAGTGCTCCTGAAAGATATCGCTGGCATTATTTCTGCATATCCTACATGAGGCTTTTGTGACAAATGTCAACCCACTTTATTTCTAGTGCATGGTTTGACAAGTACCATGAGCACAGTAAATATGGATATTTAATCCTCATTCTCCAGCTCCAGTAGTAAATGAGACTCAGTACTACCAAGGCTGGAAAGTTGAAGACTCCATTTCCCAGAACCCTCTTGCAGGTAAAATTCTACACATAAGAGTTTCCACCAGATACACACCCTGATGAGATGCAGGAGGCAGAAGTGAAGGCCATTATCTACTGCTATCGTTTGTTCTGTTAAGTCACATTAGGGAGATAATCAGGTCTTTCTGAATAATCTTCAGTTTACCAATTTATAGCCAATCTCATTACATTAAGTAATTACCTTTTACCACTTACCAATTACCATTACCTTTACCCACTTCATCTTATTTTGAAGTAAATTTCAACCAATTTTATGCACATATTTCATTATGTATCTTAAAGCTTTATACTGTTTAAAACCACATCATTTCTAAAAAACAATAGTTCTTTAATATAAATATCCAGTCAATGGTCACATTGCCAACTGTCTTTTATTATTATACAGAGTTTTCTTGTTTTGTTTCATTTTTGCTGAGCCAATATCCAAAGAAGGTCCACCAATTGCAATGGTTGATATCCTTAAATCTTAATGCATTAAGTGCTTTCTTCATCTGTGTGGTTTTATTTTCTTTGCAATTGTTTTTAAATAAATCACATTGTTTAGTTTCCCAGTCTTTATTTGGTGTTTGTATCCCAATGATGGTATCTGACATGCTCTGTAAATGTCTTCTGTAATTCCTATAAATTGTTTGCTGGGCCTACAGGCTTGATCAAATTTAGTTTTCCAAGATGAAGGTGCATTATCTCTGAAAAGACAGACATTTGCCCCTCCCAGGCAGCTAATCATGACATTAGCAGGCTGAAACCTCTTTAAATTCAATTGATGGCTTGAAGATTTATTTTTTCTTTTCTTTTAGTTTTTTACTACCCTGGGTTATGTGACTTTGGGCTGATAATCTGTGCAGGGCAGTAATGATTATATATATCATCTGGTTTTGTTTTGTTGGTCTTATGCTCTCTCAGTGCCAAGGCAATATTCTTTGAAGTCTTCTGGGAGAAAGGAAAACATTATTTGATTTATCCTCATCCCTTCAAGACTGAAGCCCTTTAGGATGTTAGCTTTATGGAGTGACTTTTATCAGTCTCCAAGTCTGCTAGCCTTTGTCTTTTGCTCCTGTACCTGAAGCTAAAGGCGAGTCAGGAACAGAGAGGCTCCTTTTGCAAAAGTGCCCCCAAGTTCCACTTAGACTTTTGGCACAGGCCCCTACTAATTTATCAACACTAGGACCAGGGATTTAGCTCAGTGGTTCCAGCGCCTGCCTTGCAAGCGCAACGTCTGGAGTTCAATCCCCGTACCAAAAAAAAAAAAAAAAAAATTCATCAACACAATGGTTTTAAGAGTGCTTTTAATATTTTCATCCAGAATTTTTAGTTTTCCCAATGCCCCCAGTGGGAGAGTAAATCTGAGTAACTAGTAAAACACATTGAATACATATAGGCAATAGTAGCTGTCAACTGAAAGCCCATCTATTTCATCAGCCAGGTTGGTAACGATCACTTAAATATTTAAAGTTAAAACACAGACAACTGTGAATTCATTTTTATTATACCTAGTATATCTAAGTTATCAACAAGAACAAGAAAAAAGTTATCAACAAAGATCTGATGAAGGAATGTATTAAGAACTGATTTTTAAAAAGAAAAGAACTTCACACTATTTGCATATTATGATAAAACATGATTTGGCCGAGATTGCTATTCATTCTCCTAATATCCATTCTCTTTCTCCAAAAGAACACGCTCATTTTAGCTAAACATATGCCAGTCTGAAATAAACAATTTCCCATCCTCCCTTGTAGCTAAATGTGACCATATAATTAAGCTCTGGCCAATGGCATGTAAGTTGAAATGTCCTATGGCAGCTTCCAAAACTCAGCGGTCTTTAAGACCACTGGCCTTTACCCTCAGCTCCCTTTCTTTGTCTTTCCTTCAGGAGAATGTACATGTGACGGTTAGAGCTTTAGCCACCTATCCTGGCCTACAAAAATGAGTGTCACACCCTGGATATGGCAGCCTAGTAAGCTAAAAGAATCCTAGGTCCCCAAAAGCTTCATGGAGAAGAACATTCCTATCAGTCCTGGATTCTTTATATCTGGGATAAAAGAGAAATAAACCTTTTTGCCAATGTGAGTTTTCCCAAAATACCAGCTTTCTTTGGATAAAGGAGGAAGCCAGTCTCATAGATAGCAGATAATTATATATATATATATATATATATATGTATATATATATGTATATATATACTGTGCAGCCACATATCTCTCAGGAGGGGATATTACTTATTTATAAGTAACTATTCTTGCTCTTATGATAGACATAGTTGCTCTGTAGTAGGAGTCTGAGAACATAGGCTAGAGTTGCATCTCTGCCACTAAGTAGCAATTCTGCTGATTTCTCTATTTTATATTTCTTTATCCATTAAATTTGGATAGCACCATCTGTGTTATAAGATTCTCTTGAGATTTAAAATAGAACATATATGAAAGTACTCCAGAGTAAAAATCACTATAAACATAACAGTTGGTGAGAATAATTACAGTGTAAGATACCTGTGGAGAGAAGCTATCTGTCTCACACTGTGTCCCCAGTAATAAGAGCTCAATAAATACTTACTGAATAAAGATATTAAGTCTTTGCTAAATGAGTGAGTTATTCTCCTTTTTTGAGCTGAATAAGGTCCTTAATGTTATTTAAGTCCCTAAAAGACACAATTGTTAATCTTGATGTCAGTCAAAAGACACAGGGGTGAAGAAAGAAGCCTTAGCTAATCCATTTGTCTAGTTTAAAAATCAATCACCATTTGCTGCGCCAAATAAACCAGAAGGAAAGTTGTGATACAGAAATGAAACTTTTATGACCCTTGTCCCTCTCAATTACAAAGTCACATACAAAAATATTCTTTTAATGTTTAAGCCACTATGCATACTGCATCAAACGAAAGACTTCCTCACACTGGACTGTGACTAAAGTATTTTATTAAATTAAGTATGTGATCTGCAAATAGCTTCATAAGAAATTTTAGAAGCAAACTTATAAACATTTTCAATAAAAAAGTACAAGAATTAACAGCAAAATTTCATTTACTTTATAATACAAATAGAAACATTTTGTTTCTGATATATGATCTAAAAATTTTATACTATGTTCTCTAATAACTGCAATGTTACATTTTAATGAGAAGACACAAAGTTAATTTAATTATTTATTTTTAACAGGTTAATCATTTGGACCATAAAAGTCAGTTTCTCAACTTTAAGGAAAAACCTTGTCACCATATAACATGAAGTTATAAAAGGCTCTTCAGGATGCAAATGTCTCCTAGCCTTGTTTCTCCATTAAATTCTGTAAAGATGCATTAAGTAATACCATAAACAAATTACATTTTTAAAAATAAGCACCATTAACATACACTCTATATAAACTTACTTTTTTGTTTGTTTGTTTTGTACCGAGGATTGAACTCAGGACCTTGCATTTGCACAGCAGGCGCCAAACCACTGAGCTAAATCCCCGCCCTATATAAACTTACTTTACCTTTTAAATGATGCTCTTTTGGCCACACAAACATTTAAATCTGTTTTCTTTACATGTAAATAAAAATAAGCAGTACTTTACCACTACACAGAAACATCATCAAACTTCACCCCATTGCACAATAGGAAAGCATGTAGAAAAAAACACTTGGAAAAAAAAGTACAAACTATTTTTCACATTTTTTATACATTTTGCCATTTTCTTAATATGAGAACAGTTAAAACATTGTCAGAACAATTTCCTGAGTTTCAAGAGTTTCTACTTTCCAGCTGAGAATAGCTAACCTTATTACATGGGTCCTTTATCTAAGCGCATAAAACATTTGAGCTTTAAAAGAAAGAGACTCGGGCCAGGGATTTAGCTCAGTGGTTCCGCTGCCTGCTCCACAAGCGCAAGGACCTGAGTTCGATCCCTAGTACCAAAAAAAGAAAGAAAGAAAAGAAAGAGACGAAAATAAAAGGATGGGAAACTATCCAAAAGAACTGTGAGCTTTTCTTCTCAAAATATGTTAACAATATACAAATCATTTTTAGTCACAATTTCTACTATATAGTATGTACTGTATGTAAAAATCACAGAATTGCAAACAGTATGGAAATGTTAATAAATAGAAACTTCAACTTGAAAATAATATAGAGAGATGTGAACATCCAATAAATGTATGAGAACATGCTTCCATTTCTCACATTGGAATAATAATATGGATGTATTTAAAACACTTAAAAAGTCCTGGGGGCCCCGCTACATAAACCCTGGGTTTATATAGTAATTCTCTTTCTTTTCCTCTGGTAGATACTAGTAAGAGACAATTCAATAGATGTAGTTGTTAATAAAATCTTCCAAACTACAGAAATGCTGTACTTTTAAAATATCAAGTTTTTGGACAGAGATCGATCCCTGGTACAAAAAAAAAAAATTAAGTTTACAAAGAGCTTTTCTAATGAGTGCACATATTGGTATAAATACACCAATACATGAAAACTTTGAAAGTCTCCAAACTATCTTTGCCTCTTGCATATAGGATTTCAATATGGGCAAAAGAAGAAATGAGGGATTGGGCTGGGGATTTTGCTCAGTGGTGCTGCTGCCTGCCTCGAAGGGCAAGGTCCTGAGTTCGATCCCCAGTACCAAAGAAAGAAAGAAAGAAAGGAAGGAAGGAAGGAAGGAAGAAAGAAAGAAAGAAGGAAAAAGGGATTATAAATCTTTCCTTCATAATTATGTGCTAAAGTAGGGTCAAAGGCAGGTTAAGATTAAACAACGTCATAAGAATATATATGATGCTCAAACTTTGCTTACATATTTATGAATAATGCTACCAGATTTATCAAAACAAGACCTAAAATTGAAGTTGATATAGTATAAAGTACAGCTTCTTTCATTTGGTTTCTGTCCATAACATACCATGTCTCTATTTCTTTTCACTGCTCCCCTATTAGTCACAATTATAGTACTGAAGTAAGCCTAGCTGAAGTTCTCAAAAACAGTATTTTTTAAACCAGTTAAGAAATACAAAAAACACAGAAAATGAGTATGCAGCTGTACACACTCCAGTAACCTCAGGTTTTAGTATTTTTCATATATTTTAAATATTAATTTATACATGAAAATTTTACTTCATTAACTAACAATTATAATTTTATAATAAGTTGCTAAAAGTAACTGTTATTTTTAATGTATTCAACACTTAAAGATTATAAAAAAAGTATGCTAAATTACTGCCTGTTTTTAACAAATTATTACAGATATAAAAATGTCAATAATACTTCAATACCAATAATTAGCCATTTCCAAATATTAAACATAGATTCTTATTTTTGTGGAAATAAAATTCAATAAGGCTCTTCTTTTAAAAGTATGCACTGATGATATATAAAAATATGAGTTTTTGAGTGTTTTTATTAAACTCTTTGCTCTTTTGGGAAGTCAATTCTGTATTTCAAAATTCTTTCAGTAACAGCTCAATCAATCCTATTATTTCCAATGCAAAATTTTTTAAGCTGAACAAAAAGTAATACAAGGGCCGGGGATTTAGCTCATTGGTTCCACGCCTGCCTCACAAGCCCAAGGTCCTGAGTTCAATTCCCAGTACCGCACAAAAAGAAAAAAAAAGCAATACAATTCTTTGCTGAAATTGCCTATGTTGAAAGTATCTATATGACCCAAAATAAAACTTAATTTAGCCATTGTCTCATTCCCACATTAAACTTCTGTAAAGGAAATTACAATTTAAATACTGACCAGACTCATTAGCTAATTGAACAATATAAGTTAATGAAAATTTCCTTTTAGAAAGTTGGATCTTTTTCAAAATAAAAACAAAAATCTTTTACTAAATTGTACAGATTCCTCTTATAATTATATCAGAGTGTTTTCTGATTTATTTTAGTAGGATTTTGACCTACAGTTTAGAAATTACATGCTTCATATATATCACCATTTAGTTTGAGGCATATATCACTGCCTGAAATGTCTATGCTATGAAAGGCTAAACACTGCAAGACACTCACAGACCCAACTTTCCTCAAGAGAAATATACAGAGACAAAAGAATATAACAAAAAAAGAGACTAAGATCACATACAAAACAGAAAAAGTGCAACAGTGTGTCTTCCTTTGTGCAGGATATGGCAAGATGACATGATTTCAGTTTGGCTTTGAAAGCAAAAATATTCAAGTTTCTTTTCTTTTGTTAGATCACCTTTTTTCTTTAATACTACCACCCTTTGAAGGCAGCCCTTCAAAGGGCATGAACATCTACAGAAACTTTTGCAACTCTACTTAAAGTAAAAAAAATATATATATACAAACTAGCATTTTCTTTCTGAGAATCAGAGCACTTCAGACTTTTAAAACGGCAGCTGATAATTTTCTTAGATATTTTGTAATCAATAAAAATTCTCTTTAATATTCTTAACAGTTAATATTATTTGGCTTTGATTCAGTAAAAAAATTAAACTTTTCTTGAATTTGATAAAGTTTTTTGACTTATAAATGGACATTATTTCTAATAAAACATGTTTAGAACAGAATTGACTGAATTACTGTAAATAAAACTAAGCTTAACTTACAAACTTTCACACTTTTAAATCAAGTACATTTATTTTACTTTAGCATGACTTTCAAGCACCCTGGTTTAATTTCAGAGAACCTGTGGAAATGAGAAAAGAGTTGTTTTAAAGATAAAATTTTTCAAATTGTAAGAAATCTTTTAATCAATTCTAAGTGTCTATGCTTAAAATAGTATTTATTATCAAAGTATTCTCCTTCATTAATATCTAGGACCAATTCTACCATATGCTTATGTTCCTTTTACTCAACTGTCAAGTCACACATAATCCCAAGGCTCGGGGTTATCCCTAACTCATTGAGTACTAAACACAATGTAAGATCTTCAAACCTGCTCTTGCCTGACTCTTAAAAATCCAATTGCTGTATGAAGGACAAGATGTTGCCCACTCTACACTGCTTCTATGTATCAAAAAAGCATCAAGAAAATATCTGAGGGGCCGGGGATTTAGCTCAGTGGTTCTGGCACCTGCCTTGCAAGCGCAAGGTCCTGAGTTCAATCCCTGGTACCAAAAAGAAAAAGAAAAACATCTGATATAGAAACCAAGCCTGATTTCTCTGGCCTAGTGATACTTTCAACTCTCTTAGGGTAACATGCCAAAGAGCTCTACTCTCTGAAATAGATCATTAATCTCAATATGATAATGTTCTGGTATAACCACTACTTTTATAAAAATATCCCTAAAATGTCACCGGTTTTTCTGCTCAGAATTAATGCTACCATTTTCTACAATGTAGGCAAGTAACATTTTGTTATATGGCAGAAACAAAGTTTTAAAAACAAAATGGGGCAGGGACCAGGGATTTAGCTCAGTGGTTTTGCCTCCTGCTGCGCAAGTGCAAGGACCCAAGTTCAGTCCCCAGTACCAAAAAACCCAAAAAAACAAAATAGGGTGGGGCCAGGGATTTAGCTCAGTGGTTCCGCCGCCTGCCTCCCAAGCTCAAGGACCCGAGTTCAATCCCCAGTACCGGTACCAAAAAAAACCAAAACAAAATGGGGTACCCTAACTGAAATTGGAAAGAAGTAGGAATTTAAGGATACACAGGGAATCTATCCATCAATAGAATTTAACCTTGGACTTTTCTTGTAAATTTATTATTGAATAACACAATGGAAAGGGACATTTCATGTCTTTGACAAAAAATTAATAGCATTTAACTTATAAAGTTAAAAATATAAATCCATATTAACTGAAGTGTTTCAACTAAAATATAAACATTAAATTATAGCAATCTTTCAGCAAAAGTCCCCCAATTCCACCTAAAAA